GGTCTTACGCGTATTACTGCCGAACCCTAGCCACAGCACTTCATGCCCAAAAGTCATGTTCCAGAAAATTCCTTTTTTTCTCCAAAGGTGATCTGTCGGCGAATTAGTAGTCAAAATGTCGTTGATCTGTGTCAAATAGGGTGTTGGTTCTGGTGGTCAGGCGGAGATCATGGACAGATTACATGACTTGTAGTAACTTTGCCCGAGCTGCTGCGTGACACATGCCCGACTTCGCCGCCGGGTGCAAGGAGTGGGGTTTCCTAACATTGCGAGGCCCGAAAAAAAGAAGAAGCTCCTGGCATGTGCAAGTAATACCTAGAAGCGATCGGCCACACGTTAGATCTAGAGCGTCCCCAGTTTGACCCTTGCTGCTAACGTATTCCAGCCCACTGTGGTCCCCTGTGGTCCCTGGACTCAAGACTGCGGCAAAAAGTTCCGATGACGAATCACAAGTTTTGGACATAATCCTAGTGCGATGGAGCACATTCCGGGATCAGATGCTAGTTTGTGAAGTTGCTCAAGGATACCCGCTCCCTGCATCTTGCACCGCGCCATCCGATCGCGGGAGAGCTGTCTAGCGGTTCATCCGGCAGATCGGATGAGATGAATTAGCCTGAGGCTGAGGGTCCTCGAGCCCGGGACGACAAGGCTTAGTCTGCAACTCATTGTCGCTAGCTTATCATGTCTTCGTTGCCGAGCCGCAAGAGTTACTGCAAACTGACAAGGACCTGTGGAGGTCTAGTGCCTCGCACCGGCCTTGCAAGCCACTGTGTCCTAGGCGCAATCATTCGACATTTTTCTCGTGCTTGCCAACGTTCTCTTGTCTTCCACACTCATACATAATGGTCATGCTTGCCTTGATGCATATAGAACAGCTAAGTTCCAGAGACAAATACGACGTGAGATGTCAGATTTTCGCAAAACACATTATATGTAATCATACAAGATCCAAGGCAAATGCAATCCACTTTCCATCTGCCGTTACGTGTGTTTGTCGTGCAAGACCGAGCGCCACCAGCTCCGTACGCTGCTAAATGTATCCGTCCCTATGGTACAAAAGAGAGAAATGAGACCATGTAAATGCCATGGGAAGAAGGAAAAAGGATTTACTCATCCTTTTGCGTTGCAGATTGAGCCTCACTTGCTGGCTGAGCATCGTCCTGATGCTGCTCAATGCTCTTCTCCTTCTGCTGATCTTCCACGACCTCGACAGTAGGCGGTGCCTCGCTGGCCTCGGGAGCATTAGCCTGCTCTTGTGTCTCAGGGTTACGGCCCTCAGCGTCTGGGTGGGGAGGTGCAACACCATTTTCTTCAGCGTCACCATGCGAGTCTACAAGGCCCTCGTAGATCTCGTGGCCTTCGCCATCGACGATACGGGTTCGGGTCTCGTAACGCGTCTTGAAGCTGACCTTTCCAGCAAGTGCTGATACCTCATCGTCATTGAGGATACGGCCGTTCTCGTCGCGGTACTCAATACGCTCTTCCTTGGAAACAACAGGTAGATCCTTGGGGGCCTCCTGAGGTGGCGGGGAAACTACCGCTTGCTCAGACATCACGTTCTCTTCCTTCGCTTCTTTTGGTTGCTCTGGCTGTTCCTTGGGCTGTTCTTGCTTGACCTCAGGGACGACTTCAGGTGCGACTGGAGCCGGAGGAGCAGGTGCTGCTGATGAAGGCACGGCGATGGATGCTACAGGCTCAGAGTGCATGACGTTGTATGCTTCGTACTACAACTTGTCAGCTGAAATTGGCCAGTCGTGATGCGAAGAGAACTTACAGAGTTTAGGAAGTTGTTGCAATCCCAGTCCCAAGTGTCGAACAGCTTAACGCTCTTGCAAGCATCCTTGGTCCATGCGTTGCCGTATGCTAGGGGAGAGTATACAGTGAAGACTGTGATAGCGACAGCGAGGAAACCGACAGCCGCTGCTTGGCCGATCGCGGGGTATTGCCTCAAACCAAAGACACTGAAGCGGTAGCTCACGAAGTCAAAGATCTGGCAAAGTGCAAGGATGGCAAAGTACAGAGCGGGCAGGTAGTGGTGCAAGAACAGCTGGCGCGCCATCAGGTAGAATGGGAAGTAGTGGAAAGCCCAACCGAGAATGCTCATGCCCACTTCGTAGTCGAAACGTTTGAAGGTGACGTTATTGTAATCACGGTAACCGCGCTGCCAACGGAGAATGGCGAAGCCTTTGATAGCGATGTATAGAGCGATGAGCGCGCTCGAGCTCCACCAGATCACCGGGTTACCCAGAAGATAGATCTGACGGTTATGCTTGCCCCAGAAGTTGATACCGCGGCGTAGAATGGGCCACGACGGAGGGCGCGAATCCCAGGCGTGCGATTCAGTAAGGCCAGCGTTGGTCTTCCACATGACCTTCTGCAACTCCCAAAACTTGCCGAAGAATCCGGGGTTGCGGTAGTTGACCTTTTCGACCTCTCCGTCCACCATCAAGGGATGAACATTGCCCTCGATGTACCAGATGCTGTTGGGCAATGTGCCTTGCCGAGCGCAAGTGACCTCTTGTTGCTCGAAACCCCAGTCAGGGAGCTTCACCTTGTGTGAGAATAGCGCACAACCAGTCATGACATGAACAAGCCTGAACTTGGTCTGGATAGTTCGGACGCGCTTCTTTGCCACGGCTCCATCAGACTTGCTCTTGACAATCTCAATGCGGAACAGATCGTTCGCATCACCCTCAAAGCCTTCGTAACCGTAGGCAGAAACCTCGTTTTGCCAGTCAGCCTCGGTAACAGGAGCACGAACATCGTGCGAGTGGAGGCGTCTGTCGGTGGTGATATGGTAGAGGCGAATGACACCGCCATCTTCAATGTAAGTAGGTCCAACGTTGTCCCAAGCTTTAGGGCTTGTGAGGTTTGGGCCAGTGTAGTCTTCCGGCATGATTGGCAGAGTTTGGTTTTCCATGATCCAGATGTTGTTTTCGTCCTTGTGGGGGTAGAGAGTAATCTGTTGCTGCTTGCTACCGGTGGGGTACATGTGGCTGTGGGAATGGAGATATCCGCCTTGAGTGTTCCAGTGGCGTAGAGAGACACGGCTTCCATAAGCGACGTCGGCGGGAACAGCTTGCATGCCCTTGGAGTTGAGCGTCGCCTGGAACTCAGAAGACATGAAGCCGTCACCCTCACCAGGGTTGACCAGACAGATGAAGTGGATTCCGAACATGGCCATGTAAAACGAGACGGGAATGACGATCAGGCAAAACATGCGTGCGAAGAAGTGCTTGAACCACAGGCGTGGCGTGACGTTCTTGGTATCTCCGAGAAGAACCCAGAGTTGTACCAGTGTCAAGCTACCAACCCAGGCGATGGTGAACAGGCCTACCCATTTGACACTGACTGTTGCACCGAGTCCGACACCGGTAGCAGCCAACCAAAACCACCAAGATGGCTGGAAGGCCTTGGAGGGTCCTTGTTCGTGCTGGTTCATGAAGCTTGTCCAGGCGAGTGCGGTGACGGCCGTGAAGATGATGAGCGGCGAGTCGAGGAGGATGAGGCGGGACTGGGTGACGAGCGCATTGTCTACAAGAAGTCAGTATGCATTACACCTCCCAAAAAGTGTGTCTTACCAAAGATGACAAGTCCAGCGCCCAGGGCCGCAGTGGTAGTACGGCAACCCGCAGCTTTGAGGGTGAGGAACATGGTCGGGATCGTCAACACTCCGCAGATAGCGGGCAGCATGCGCATGGTGACATATGGGACCTTGGGCTCCAGATAGTCTTTGCCGATGTCTTTGAAGTCGAAGTTTCCGTCAAATCCACCCAACCATCCTGCCAGTGTGATGAGGAGCTTCGCGAGTGGAGGGTGGACGTCCATGAAGAATCTGCCCTTGATGTATTTCGATGCGAATCCACCGAAGCTGGAATCAGTCAGCCAACATGTCTGTTGAGTTTGTTGTATGGTGACCACACTTACTGAACTTCATCGAAGACAACACTGGTAGGCTGTGAAATCCGGAAGAGTCGAACGCCGGCCGCAATGAAGGTCAAAACGGCCAGCAGTGACCAGTCTGAGCCAGGGAGGTTGAAGATATCATGGTCCTGCACTCCCTCGGAAGTGTAGCCTTGGACCTTCTGTTGCTGTGTGTTGGGCTGCTTGCGGCCATTCGGGGCTGGGGAGCGCGACTTGGAACGCGACTTGGATCTGCGAGACTTGGGCTTCTCGCCCAGGTAGGCGTTGGGTGCCGAGAGGCTCGCCATGACGGCGGGATGTGAAGAGGTGTCGCGGCTCGATCAGCTGGCGAGTGGAGCGCTGTACCAAAAGGTGGGAACGTTGCGGAGTTCCAGTCTACGTTGAAGGCGCCCGCGGCCTTGACGTCGTTGCAAAGAGAGTTAAAGAGAGTTGGAAAAGAGTCTCATCAAGGTGAGGGGGGAAGAGATGGAGGTCTCTGTGGTATGCGCAATGGTTCAGGCTAAGGGGAGAGAGTCCCGCGAGGAGCAGTGGTTGCGTACCGATTAATCCTAGTTGCAAGCTGTTCCTTACGACGGCCCTTTCCCAACTGGGAGAGCTGAAAATAGGTCCAGGTACATAGGGCTAGCATTCACTCCACCCAATTATCTACCAGTTTGGAGAAATCAGATTAGTCCTCCAGCGGCAGTGGTCTGACCTCCGACAGCCGTTTGCAAGCCGAGGCGTCTTGAGTATTACGCCGAGTGCTTCATTTCGAAAGCTGTGGCTTGGTTGTGGCGCAACTGTGGCTGGGGTTCGGCGCGGAACATCTTGTTGCCTACCCTGGAACTTTGCGATCTCCCGCATGTCGACGCCCAGTCGCAGCTACCAACAACCACGTCCACATTCACCCCACGCGATCTACGCGCAAGTCACTCGGAAGTAGGTAATCGCGACGGGAATCTGGTCACTGGCGTTTGAATTTCTCCCCTGTTCTTGCCCCGCGCAATCTGCGAGTACCTCACCTGCTTTTCGCGACTCATATACAGGACTGCCGACGACATCACTCGAAGCCGAGACGTACACCGACCACACGCGCCATGGCGAACCCCAACGGCAATGGCGTCGCCTCGGGATCTGTCGAGCTCGACGTGAAGCCGCCGTCGAACCTGGTCATCCCCCCGCCCAACGTGCGCGAAACGATTGCGAAGACGGCCGACTTCGTTGCCCGCCGAGGCGAATCACACTTCAACGGACTGAAGCAGCGTGTCACTACCGATCCTTCGGCCGCGAACAACCGCAACTTCGTCTTCGTCATGGAAGAGGATCCCTACAACGCCTACTTCCTGTGGTATCTCCAGCAACTGAAGGAGGGTCACGGACGGTCAGTTGGAAGTGCCAAGCAAGTCGTTGACAACAAGCCCAAGGGCCCCCCAGAACCGCCCAGGTTCCGCTTCTCTGCGCGCATGCCAAACATCAGCGCAAAGGACTTGGAGGTGCTGAAGCTCACAGCTCTATACACGGCCCGCGTGGGTGAGAACTGGCTGAAGGATCTGCGCAACCGTGAGTCTGGCAACTTCCAGTTTGACTTTCTCCGACCAAACCACAGCTTCTTCCAGTTCTTCCGATCGCTTGTTGAGCAGTACAAGATCCTACTTGAGGAAGAGGCGACAGTCGAGGCGCGTATCCAGGAGCTACAACAGAACATCAAGAACCGGTTCCATGTGCTAGATCGTGCCAAGGGACGTGCGGAGTACGTCAAGTACGTGACCGCCCAAAAAGAGAAAGAGGAAAAGAAGGTCGAGGCTGAGAAGCAAGAGTATGCGACTGTGGACTGGCACGACTTCACTGTCATTGCGACTGTGCTCTTTGACGAGGCTGACGATGCAGCGGACCTGCCTCCACCAGCACAACTGAACGATTTGCAGTCGCAGTCGCTCGAGCAAAAGGCAGCCGTCTCACTTTCTACAAGGCGTCTCGAGGAGGCCATGCCCGACGAGATGACTTACTACAACGTCACACAGCAGCAGGTACCCCCATCTCAGATGCCGCCAAACTACGCTCCCGCAGCGCCGCCCGTGCAGCCACCGTATGGTGTGCCGTCATACGCGCCTCCGCCTATGCCTGACTACCGAACGCCGGCACAGATATCGCGCGAAGAAGAGCAAGCTCGGCTGGCAAGAGAGCGCCAAGCGGAGAGCGAGCAGCGCGCACGCGCTCAGGCTGCTGCCAGAGGAGCACCTGGTCGCATTGTCACAGACTACGTTCCCCGTGCTGCCGCAAAGAAGGCAAACGTTCAAATGGCCGTGTGCCCTAACTGCAAGCAGCAAGTTCCCGCGAACGAGATGGATGAGCACATCAGAAGTAAGCCGACCCCATTCCTGTCCCTCAAAAGATCATCGCTAACACTGTATTCTAGTCGAACTGCTTGATCCGCGCTGGAAAGAACAGCGCGACAAGGCCGAAGCCCGATACTCTACAACCATCAACACCGCCGACGTCGCGAACAACCTCAAACGCTTTGCTAGTCAACGTGAGGATATCTACGATGGAGCTACTGGATTGCCGATATCTGCAGAGGAAGAAGCTCGGAGGAAGAAGGCTGCACTGTCGTACGATGGTCAGCTTGATCCTGCCAAAAATACTGCTCGTGTAGAGCAGATGCGGGACGTGAACGTCCAGGAGCAACTCCGCAAGATCCAAGAGAAGCACCGCCAAAAGTAGGGTTGCGAGTAGGTCTTGCTTTTTTTTCTCCAGACATCACACAGTCGCTTGAGATGATGATGGCTTTATTTGCATTGGGAGGCGTTTGTGCGAAGTCACTTGGGTATACCACTTTCATGGAGACCCGGAGCCGCAAGGCTTCCATTGATTCCAGTAGTTCTGGGACACTAGTTACTTGTAAAATATTAGTTCGTCAGGCATAATGAAAAATGTGCGTTCAGCGCTCAATCTCCTGTTCGATGCAGACTATTGTGGCGATGCAGCGTGGGGTAGGCTGCGGCAATCTGTATGCTCGGACTTTCGTAGCTTTCCTCCGACCTGCCCAAGACCTATGACCTAACCAGCGACTTTTATTCCCAAGTGCACCACTACCCTCCACGTTCCTCTGTACAGCCCGCGACCATGTCATTAGCACAGGCAACGAAAGGCGACATGGCCTACCAAGTGCGCTCACTCGTACGTATCCTCCTTGCGGTTTTCCGGACATCCGTTGCAGCCTACACTCATGGTGTCGCCGCCCTAGTGTCGCAATCCACACACCTACTCTGTAACTCTGCGTTTGAGATACACAGGCTTGCAGCGCGCTTATTTCCCATGGACTATGGAAGAGCACTGGCTGACCTCTGCACGTAGTACCGCTCCCTGCTGCGCCAAAGCGGGCAATTCGCCGCCTACAATTTCCGCGAGTATGCCAAACGGAGAACGCGCGATGCGTTCCGAGACAGCAAGAACATAACCGAGGAGCGGACAATACAGGAGTTGGTGCAGAAGGGCTTGAATGAATTGCAGATGCTAAAGGTGAGATATATACCCTGTGGTTCGGCAATGGAAGTGGAGGTTCGCAGCGCGTGGCAGAGAAGTGGTAGAGGCGAACGAGCCGCTATCTTGAGTGCCATCGGGCGACGTATGCGCTTGGGCGTGCCGCTGCAAGAAGCTCGGAACATGAAGTCGAGGTTGGATGCACAGGACTGAATGCTGACTCATTCCGCAGAGGCAAACGGTGATCAGCCAATTCTACCAGATCGACCGATTGGTCGTCGAAGGTGGAAGAGAGGGCAAGCAAAAAGGGGATAGAAGTGACATTGTCAGAGTGAAGGACCAGGGCTGGGATTGAGTGCCTCGCTCAAGAGAGCGGGTATGGACGACGAGACGAAATGGTCTTGTAACACTATGGCGTACATTGCATGGAGAGGCGAGAGCCTGTACGACAGCGGAGGAGCTGCGTCTACCTCAACAGCGATGATACGTTGAGAATGATGTACTGTATTATATTGAGCCTGCTCAACTCTTTGAAATGGAGTTCAGACTGAAAATAGGTCACCTCGTTGCACGTATCGGCAATACCCATGACTGTATGAGATCTCTGAATTGCCTGCAATGCCTGAAAGCATACATTCACCATCGATAATAGTCGGTCCGATATGGATCAATCTCTCTGGCGAGGCCCAGGCCCATAGTAATTCCAATCACGCGTCGCTGGATTCACAGTTCCGTTGATGCTTTTCTTCCTGCGTGGCATCGTTTGAAATACAGAAGTTGTAAGTGGTTCCCTACTGCGCTCCCTCACAAAACCAGCGAATGGCGACCAGAATTGGTCTTGGCCAAGTAAGTGAGTATGGTGTGATTAGAACTACCATGTATCTGGTACGACGATCGGCGCAAGAAGATCAAATAGGAGGTCTGTTACTTGCGTCTCAAGCCCTAGGCCGGTGCTCAGCCCCGGAGTCGCGAACGCACTCGAAGGGGTATAGCGGCGCACGGTTGCGCCTGCCATCTGCAAAGCGACGCGCCTCCCCTTCACGCATCGCGACTTCCCGTTGCATTGCGCCGACATCAATACCCACTTTCACCGCCTGCCCTAAAGCTCATCGAGGGCATCGCATGTCACTATGGCTCCGGTACGTCATCACATCTCCTTGCTCGAGCATGCGTCCTTGAGCTGCGTTTGCGACATCAATTCCCAGCCTCTGCACGCGCGCGACGCAACACCGCTATTTCTATCACGTGCATCGCATTTTTGATATTCCATCGGCTGTCACCGACGCGCCATTATCTCTTGGAAAACCGAGCGATCAGAGAGTAATCTCTAGATTCGCTTGCTTTAACGAGTGGTGATGAGCAGCTCTTCTGTACCTGCACCTCTCGCGCGACGACGCAGCCATAGCATCGCATCGTGTCCGGACAGCGTCCAAACGTGCACATATCTCTTCTAGACTCAAGCTGACATGATTTAACTAGTTTCGGAACAGGGATCGGTCCAACAGGTCAGGACGCGGCCAGATAGAGCACAATGTGCTGGAAGGATTGCCCATTAGTCAGTATCGGGAAGCTGAAATCACCATTGAGCCAAACTCGGCCGACAACAAGCCTTTGGACAAAGATGCTTGGCCCGAGCTGCCCATGCCTCGAGATTCTCACATGTTGCCTGAGCATTCTCAGCAATTGCTGCGAGCAGCACGCTCCGGGAAGTTGTACAAACCACCGGCTCCCCCAGAAGACGACAACGAGATGAAAGACGAGGAAGAAGAGACTAAAGAGATCCGTACCGGCTTCACTATCAAGAAGTACGTCAAAGTTGCACGGCATTTAGAAGTTTCGGAACCAGAGTATCTCGCAAAGAGAAGGAAAGGTCTCCCATCACCATACGTCAATGGTCAGGTTGCACAACCTGCGTTGCGGGAAACCAAGGTTAAGAAACTTGATGCAGATGGCAACGTGGCTGTTTACAAGGTACTTGTACCTGAAGGACAGGCTGTAGAAGGCGAAGTCCAGCCTGAAGATGCTGCAATTGAAGTTGCGCCAGCTACTGCGGCACCGGGAACAATCGTCGAGGGAGTCGGTGTTGTGAATGCGGAAGGTGTCGTCGTAGCTAACGACATCCTACAACAAACGCCACCTCGGCGGAGGCCGCCACCTCCTAAGAAGAAGGTCAAGCGTGGGGGCCCAGGCAGAGGCAAGAAGAAGGTCGTCTTTGTCGAAGGAGCAGAGCAAGGGACGCCAGCATCAACTGCCGGCGGTGACATGCTGGGTGTACCAGGCGTCAAACAAGAGGACGGATCGGTAGCTCCGTCAGATGGAGGTGATACGCCAATGGCAGACGCCGGTGGCGAGGAAGAAGAGGGGTCTGGCGAGGAGGGCTCGGAAGATGAAGATCAAGACATGGAGCATACCTCCAACCCAGCGACCCCTCAGGCGTCCTCTGTAGTCCCACCTAGTGCTCCAGCGACCGAAGCCCCCAATTTTGCGGACGCTACATTGACAGAGAGCACCGCACTAGCAAGCCATCCGCCGCCGGCTTCCAACGAGCCCTCTCAAGATACCGCAACGATCGAGAGGACCGCAATCGAAACCGCTCCAATCGACACGTCGCTGCAGACGCCGAAACGTGACCAGTCCAGCTCACCTGATCTGCCGCTTTCTGCCGTCTCCCATAGTCGCCAGAATTCCATGAACCAGATCTCGACTTCTACTACTACCACAGAAGCCATCGTTCCCGAGGAGGCCCCAAGCGAGGTTCCAGTCCCAGCTCCATCAGTGGAAGTGGAAGTGGACGCGGCACCAGCGCCTGTGGTCGTCCCGGAGCCCCAGCCCCAGCCTGAGCCTGTAGTTGAGGCCGAACCCAAACTTGAGGCTGAGCCTGTGCAACCTCAATCAGCTGCTCCTTCTGCACCAACTTCGGAACCAGACCTCATGGGAAGTCTGGAGAGGCAGCTTGAGGAACACGACAAGGACATGGCAGAGTCGTAGAATGGCAAAGCCCAATCCTCCCTCCCTCTACGAGCTTGTTACACATGCTGTATATTGGAATGGACGAATCGCGCACCTTTTGACGCAGCCGTCGGTCCTTGTCGCCACATGCGAGGAGTTTGAGATGTACGCATTCTGGGTCTAGAAGAAGGGTTTCGTTTGGCGTTGCGCACATCATTGTATTATTATCAACGAACGTATTCCTTTCCAGCTTACTCACATCAATACACGCACTTTTCAGCCACAGCTCCATCTATCGGCCTCGTACAGTCTTGCGCTGCTGCCGGCGGTATCGGCGTCGGAATCAACTACGCTACCCCACAATGCAACGCACGCTCATACGTCATTCTCGACTTTCCCCGTCGGGAACCGCATTTGTCAGAACAACACTAATCCAGCACGGGTATCACGACTGGACCTACTAACGCGACAAAGGCAGGTCGTTTACCGAGTTATCTACCGCAAGACTGGACGTATATATCAGCGACCAACTACAGATTATTTGCAATTCAGCCACCCATTCTTGTAAATATCGTGAAAGCATTGACGCAGATCATGCCTTCCATAAGTGAGATTGTCAAGGCACATCAGCCAGACTTGGCTTCATATGAAGAGCTCTGTGAGTGATCATGGTAACTGATCAATTTCATCGCTAATGAAGTTACAGACAAGTGGTTCCACACGCACCCGGAGCTGTCCTTCCAGGAAGCCAAGACAGCGGAAGCGATCGTCAAACATCTAGAGACTTTTAAAGCTTTCACGATTCATTCTTCCATCGGCGGTCACGGCGTCGCTGCGACGTTCTCCAATGGCCCCGGAAAGACACTTCTCTTACGTGCTGACATTGACGCGCTACCCGTGGAAGAGAAGACAGGCCTGAACTATGCCAGTACAGCGCGTATGAAGGATGTGGACGATGTTGAGAAGCCCGTGATGCATGCCTGTGGCCATGACATGCATATTACCGCGCTGCTTGCGGCGGCGGAAACTCTGGTTAAATGTAAAGAGGCGTGGAGCGGGGAGTTGATCTTGGTGTTCCAGCCAGCGGAAGAAAGAGCAGGTGGCGCACAGAACATGGTGGATGATGGTCTGTACAACAAAGTCAAAGAGCCGGACGTTGTGGTGGGCGCGCATGTCATGCCAGAAAGAGCTGGTGTTATTGGTACGAAGCATGGTTTAATCGCCAGCTCGGCTGATCGATTCCAGTAAATCCGCCCTCGTTCTTGACTCCTCATTCAAACTAACCCCTATAGACTCCGTATCGAAGGTCGACAAGCCCACGCCTCTACTCCCCATCGCGGCATCGATCCCATCCTACAAGCCGCATCCACAATAATGCGTCTCCAATCCATCGTAGCGCGAGAAGTAGACCCCCTAGACTTCGCCGTGGTAACAGTCTCCGCCTTCCACGCAGGCGACGCCGAAAACATCATCCCCTCGGAAGCCAACCTGAAAATCGACGTCCGCGCAGCTCTACCCCAAACCCGCGAACGCGTCCTCGCTAGCGTAAAACGTATCATCGCCGCCGAGGCCGAAGCATCCAACAACCCAAACACCCCCACCTTGACACCAACAACGCAGTTCCCCTTGCTCTTCAACGACGCTGACGTTACCAACGCGCTTGAACAGTCCTTCTCTGCGCACTTCCAGCCTGGAAAGCATTCGTATCAATCTGACATTGCGCGCCTACAGGGCTCGGAAGACTTTGGTATCCTGGCTACCGCCATTGGCAAGCCGAGTTGCTTTTTCTTGTATGGAGGGACGGATCCAGCGGTTTGGGATAAGGCGGAGAAGGAGGGCAGGCTGAGTGAGGATGTTCCTGGAAATCATAGTCCCTTTTTTGCGCCAGTTGTGCAGCCGACTTTGACGGTGGGCATGGAGGGGTATGTTGTTGCTGCTTTGACGTTCTTGAAGAAGTAGGGGTAGGAAGTTGGCGGAAACTCGATAGACTGGTAGTAGTGATCGCTCATCTGCTCAAAAGATGATGAAGTACTGTTTTCCGGCCTGTATCGCCTCTACAAACTCGTCTGGATGAGACACGATTGTGACAACATCTTCAAGCCCGAGATACTGAGACCTGTGAAGGTACATTGCCAACACGCAAATTACAGCGTTTGGCATGCCAATGAGCGAAGCCACTACAATTGCGGATCCATCGCATACTCTGTTCCACAGTAATGCGCTTCCGTGAAAGTCCTGGGGGCTTGCCAGCACCATGCTAGTAGCTGGTGGGATGAGACTTGGCAGCTCAGCGTCTGCCCAAGTCGCCCAATTTTTCGACTGTTCTAGCAGGTGGCGAGTCGTCTGTGGCTCTGACACTCGTTGGGCTTGATCTAATTCAATCGGGCATTGATGCAGACTCTCATCACGAGTAAGAACAGCTAAGACGCTCGAGAACGGCAGTGAATACACAATGCGGCCTTGGTGTCGATACACAAGCATGCTGCATTGAACGTCGTTGTCCCAGTCCGGTTCGATGTGAGGTGTGAAGTCAACCGCGTTGTCCGAATGGAGTCTGCGAATGAGCTCTTCGCCCTTGAAGTTGCTTTCTGATTCCGCGTCGACATCGCTCACGAGCAAGAACGACTTTAGGCCTTCTTGTACACAACCTGATGTGTTACATGGTATGAAACTTGTGTCGCAGTCCAGTAGACATAGTTGCGCCGAGTGTTTTCTTTCGAGCTGTGATCCCAGCATGACCCTCGGCAGAACGGAGATCTTCGACAGGATACCTATCGTGCTTGTTGCGCTAGCAATCGCTGTGCTACTTGTTGCTCCGTTGGCGACGGTGTTCGAATTTGGCTCCAAACCCGCGAACAGAAACCCGACTAGGTAGAGAATGGCCTCTCGTGGGTAGTGCCGACAGATCTCTCTATCGTCTTGATTGGGAAAACCACTGATGGGGCGACGTATCGACGCTGGACGATTCAGCCTCCCAATGGCGATCAGGAATCTACCACTTGTGTAGCCCCAAGCACCGTAGACTTCTTGTACACTGAGTCTAGTACAATCGACCAATGGTTGGAGTAAAGCGTAGTAATAACCCAGCAGCAGAGACTGCAGCTCGGCGTGCGCCGACAGCTGAAGGTGTAGTTGCGGAATATCGGTCTCTTTCGTCAGGTACCTTTCCATATCCTCTAGTTTGTTTGAGTCCCAACTCCCGAGTAGATTTTGGATGTGTTGCGAGACTTTGCCAGAAACCCCTGGAAGGAAAGCATCGATGACTCGGTATGCCAGTGTATCCAATCTGCGGTTTGCTGACCTTTGCGAGGGTTTATTCTTGGAGACGAGATAGCTGAAATTCCAGTCTGGAATATTTGCAAGAGCACTGATCATAACGCCATCTTCATCGACGGCAGCCATTCCGTCCAAGAATAGTGTGCGTAATCGAGCCGCGAAATCTCTTCCCTTAGGCCACAAAGACATGCATTCTTCCATGTTGTCCAACGGAATGGTCATTCCATTTCTTTTCGTGAGTGCATCTTCAGCGGTCTTGCCTCCCCTCGATGCTATTGAGGACCATCTAGTGTCCAAAGCCACGCAAATGACGCTTTCGTCGGTGTTGGTGTCGATATCGCTACTGGAGGTCAACATCTCCACTGTTGCGACTTGTTCGATACCAATCTCGTGTAATATCATCGCGAAGCAGAAAGCGTCGGTCGAGGCTGTAGTGAAAATCGTGCTTTTCTCTGTTGCGAGCCATAGCAGAAGACGCATGATCTCTTCGGATTCGGCAGATGGTATGCAACCCGGCCAATGCTGGCCTTGTTGGGCTAATTGCTTCCACAGATGATCGGTTTTGGTAATGATGCCACGAACGCAAGCGCTTGACCTCCAACCCTGGATATGTTGAGGTGCCTCTCGCATCAAATACTCCATGCCGTCTGGGCTGTTTTCGAACAGTCGCGATAAGAGGTTGATGACAAATTGGTGGACGTATGAGGGCCCGATCGCTGCATCCAGTGCTGCAAGTAACAAGGTCATGAACCAAGTGAACTTGTCCATGTTATCAACAACAGGTACTTGACTTCCAGCAGGATTTTCCACAGCCATGGGGAGTCCGTTTCGGAAGAGCGTGATTTTGCAATCCCAGCGCTTGTGTAGCTCCACCACATCTATCAAACCTTTCCTAGTGATGACAGTATCGATGTCGACTCTCAAGAACTCAACCAAATTGCGGTCTCGGGTCTGGGCCATGACCCAGTTGCCTACATTTCTTCCCGCACCAGCGATGACAGCAATGTCGCCAACACCAAACCCCCAGTTTGCCAGCTTTAGAGATCCGGAAGCGAAGGCGAGCGCCATGTTTGAAATTTTGTTTGTAGCGTGTTAGACCGATCCCGTTCGATTTTGGGGTGAAGAGGAAACGGAGGGCTTGTCAAAAGGCGTAGGTGTAAAAGATCCATGATTAGACGCGGCATAGATAAATGCCGCACCGGTCAACTCCTCATGATAAGGCTTATTCAAGGTGCAGCCTCGCCTGAATAGCCGACACTGTCGGATCCTGTGGCGTTTTCTGATGGCTAATCAACGATTCGACTCGTCTGCGCTCCAATGGGGGTAGCAGGTAAAGTCAGCATGACGTAGCCGAATCGTTGAATACCTTCTACGAGCTGACAGAGATTGAAGCAGATTAATTGTTGAACAATAACACTTGAACTGCTATCTGTTAACAACCTCAGGGTAATTACAACGCGAAATTGCTCCCCTCATAAGCGGCATTAATCTTCCAGGCGCGGGTGTCTTGCTGAACACCTCATAATAAAAAAGGGAGTATTCTGCTAACTCATGCTGAGTCGCTGCAGCACGAAGCTCAGTATACTAATTCTCGATAGGAAGCTCTTGACTGTTCTCCGATAACCCCTCGTACCACCTAGCACTCGGGAACACTACCCGTATAAGTGAGGGTATCTACAAGAGTGCTAGCTCTTTCGATTTGACGGGGAATTTCACAGCTCTTCTAACTGGCCTCGAATATGAAGCCCTCAGTGGAGCTCGGTAGAGCTCGGTAGTACCGGTTGACTCAGCGTTACCACATTTGGTACAAGTAAAGCTCTGCTACAAGTGCTCGGCAAAGAGCACCCTGAATTATATCAGTACGATCTACTTCAGCCTTGGGCTCGCTTCCACCTTTTGCATACGAGGAAAGCATTTCAGATGTTAGCTTCGGTTGGTAGAATCCGCCTTTGTTGACGCGCCGCCATGTACAGGGCCTGACATACAAGCCACATCGCTTCAATTGCATCATTGCAGGTCAATCACCAATGATATTGGTGGCTTGATGACGCGCCGATCTTGTACTGCTTCAAACTGTCAAGATCATGCAGTGTAACCTCAGCCTCGTGCTAGTTGCCCTGGCAGCCTATCGATACGCACAACAGTACGCCTTCGGGGCTGTCTCGACGGGTCATGACGGTGGTCCAATAGTATGATCCGCTGATTGAACTCGCTTCAGGTGGCAGGGCGCGTGTTGGAGACAACACCGAACGCGTCGATAGCTGCCGAGTGAACAAAGCCACCACAGAGCGTGCGGAATCAGGACAGAAGCGAGGGCAGTTTGCAAAGCATATTGACGAAACGTTTTGGCTAGGGATCATAAGATCACCTGCGGCATTTTAACCTTTCGCACCAGAAGTTGCGATGCGAAGCTTACGAATTGTATTCCTGTGATTCAATGCACCCGTCCCTCTCTTCCTCTTATCTGTGCCCAGGAAGCTCGTAGAGTGGTGGCGCGCCCTGCAACTCGGAAGGCGGTGCAAAGACCTCATGCGCTGCATGATGACCAGACTGCTTTTGAGCAGGGGCATTATCGACATAAGACACGGCGGGGACTGGCGCAGGAGTTGATGCAGCCTTATCTTTCCGGCGTTTTCGAAGGCAGAACACCACTCCGACAATGATGAGGATTCCCGCGACCACGAGCCCAACCGTCAGTCCGATTATAGTGTTTTTTCCGATACCCTTGTCTTCCGTGTCTTTTACTCCATCTGAGACCACTGTTGTCAGGGTGTCTGTTGCTGATGTGGTCGACGAGGGACTTGTTGACGATGTTGTTGGTGTTGAAGAAATCGGGTCTAGCGAGACCGATGAAGTCGACAACGACAAGGACGAAGACGAAGACGAAAATGCTTCCGATTCGCTTGCGACACCAGTCCGTTTGATGTACCAGCTAGTGCTCCAAAAACCGTCTATCCTTTGCTCCTCATCGGTGCCCTGGGCATTGACGACTCTAAATACGAAGGGGTTGGTCAGGTTGGCCTCTTCCGCGCGTACCTCCCATTGGTACCATTGACTTGCTAGATTGACTAAAGTCTCATTAGTACTTCATGTGATAATGAAGAAGCATGATTCCTCACCAGCGAGCTGCACTGAATTCGCGACCTTGCCTCTTTGGTAAAAGTATAAATTGATGTTTTTGTACGTGGTCGACCATGATATATTGATGCTGGAGCCTTCGCGGAAGTCTATCGGGTACGTTACTGGGAAGATGAATCCGCCGTCGCTTGAGTCCTGAGGTTCTGTCCAAATTCTTCCTTCTTCTTCTTCCTGTCTCGGCGAGACATGAGAGGCGAGTAACGTCGAGCTCATGACCCACAGCCTGACGATGAGTCTCCACATAGTTATCTGATACTATGGCAAAAGGGCTGATGGTATGGAAGCGAAAACAAGGGGACACTTAGCGGAAGAGTGCTCTGCACATACGCCTTTGGTTACACCGAGAGCCTGGAGGCGGGAGCCCTTCACCACGCCGCACCGGTTGAATGCGCATATCTCTTAGTTTAGGTGTTGAATCCCGTGGAACGGGTGAGCGGTTGGCTGAGATGCATTGTTTGAAGCAAGACGATAATGATGCAGGTCCTTGTCTGCTTTCGCCTACTCGATTCCCACCAATCACTATTCTGCCCAAACGCCACTGTCTCTGCTGTGCCACCTACTGCTCACTTTCAATTTCGCTACTTCCTTTCCGTCTGGAAAGCCATTCGGATAGAATGATATCGGGGGAAGAAAGCCAGTGGTTACTTGTCTGTTGAAATAACGCCAGCGTAGTCGTTCTTCTTTGAGAAGGGCACCGGGAATGCGTGTGGGTTGGCTTTCGAGTGTGACGCAGCGGTTGATTACATCGGAATGGAGGACCAGAAGCTGACAAGGATTACCAGCGCTAAGCGCCGGGCGGGAAACTCATACTGACACGCAGAGCTGCGGATTGAAGGGGCAAACCCCCAATAAAGTCGACTGAGCTTGTTCCTTCCAACGAGCCCCAATGTACTTGCGTTGAGTGAATGACGATGGCTGCAGGTAGGTCCCGGGGCAACTTCCGACGCAGATATCGAACTGCTATTGCTGCCTTGCTCATCTGTGGCTTCTTCATACACTCATATCGAAGATCGACACCCAGCGCCAGTATATCAAGCCAGCATCAGACCCCACTGTACTGTCCTCAGAACGCCATCGCGAAGGAAGTATTGGTCGTCCTTCGCACAGGTGCCACCGAGGTACTCGAGAAGCTGCCGATTCATCTCACTACCGTGTTGCGATGCATTCCAAACTACGCCATCTATTCCGACTTTGAAGAAGAATTTGGAGGACATCATATTCATGACGTTTTCGACGAGCTCGACCAGGATCTAAAAGACTCGGTGCCAGACTTTGAGCTTTACCACCAGCTGAAAACCAAAGGCAGAGATGGTCTCTCCATGGATGGTATCGCACACGATGGAAGTGGCGCATCAGGGTCGCTAAGCAACCCGGGGTGGAAACTTGACAAGTTCAAGTTCTTGCCGATGATAGATAAGGCTCTCCGCCAGATGCCACAAGCAAAGTGGTTCGTCTTCGTTGAACTTGACACGTACCTGATGTGGACCAACCTGCTCGACTATCTGTCCCAGTTCGATGTAGAAGCCTCGCATTATATCGGCAAGCAAATGTACATTGGCGACGTGCTTTTTGCTCACGGCGGCTCGGGATTTGTTCTGTCGGCACCAGCAATGAGGAAGGTGATCCATCATTGGAAATCGCATATGAAAGATCTGAATCAGTATACAATTGAGCAATGGGCCGGAGACATGGTCCTCGGAAAGGCGTTGAAGGATGCTCAAGTATCACTGCTGTGGGCATTTCCTCATTTCCAGGGTGATCCGGTTTCAACGCTCGACCACAACATTACGAAGATCAACAGACAACCGTGGTGCTATCCCGCGATTACATATCATCATATGCCGGAGAATGAGATCAGGTCTCTGTGGGAATTCGAACAAGAGTGGTATCGTAGGCGTCCAAGGAGCGCTCCTCTGAGGCATGCCGATGTGTTCAAGGGATATATATACCCTAATCTGAGCAGGGAAAGATCAGAATGGGACAGTTATTCCGTCGACAAGGCCTTCAGCAATGAGGTTTTGAAAGGCGAGGAGGTGCACAGCTCTTTCGAAGCTTGCAAATCGGCATGCGAAAGGAACATCCGCTGCCTGCAGTTCTCCTACCGCCCTTCCAGGTGTCTTGTGTCGCGTGAAGTGCGCTTGGGTCGAGCGTCGACATTACAATGCTCAGAGTATTCCACTGCCGCTTCGAGGTGTGAAAAGATGGAGGAGCCGGCGGCGGGAGGTCTGGTTCGTTCTGGTTGGATCGTGGACAGGTTGGAAGAGTACATGCGTACTATGGATCAGGCGTGCGATCGGATAGGCTGGATCACTTAGAAGTCACACAATTCGAACGAATCTTGTAGTTAGCTGTAATGTTAGTAGTAGAGCGTTGGTGTCTAATAGCTAGCGATTGTCATGCCGCTAGACCCTTGCTTAGGCAGAGGTTAGCTCTAAACGACGTAACCTGCCGCTCCAACAATCACTTGCAGACCACACACGGCTGCCTAGATATTGCAAGTAGCGGTCGACATCTACACCCAGTTCCAAGACGCTTTCTCCGTCGATTCCCCCTACACTATCCCCTCACGCGCCATGGCTGAGCCAAATCCTGCCCCGCACAGCGAGCGCGACCCCGCAGCGGCGACCGACGCGAACGAAACACGCGACGAAGACAACGACGACCACAAGCCACGCGACAGCAACGGCTGGGACGGGAAGTTGCGGATAGACAAGATGAGCATTGCCGACGAACCACGCGACCCCCATGCGCAGGTTGTGAGCGATCCAGAAGTATCAGACGACGAGGGCTCGCCTCCCGAGCAGCTGGCTGCAGACGAGGATTTGCTGGACGACACACCGGAAGATGAGGACGACATAGAGATTGTGCACTCCAAAGTCTCAGACATGTCGGCGTTACGGTTGGAGAGGTTCAAGCAGATGAAGGTATGCTGTGCTGTGGGCTGTAGATGAGTTTGCCTAACCTCCCAGCGTCTCTGCCTACGCCAAAACCGCATAGAAAGCATCGCGATACCCGACGAAGTCGCGCCGACTCTCACAGAAGTCGACCTCTACGACAACCTCATAGCGCACATCAAAGGCCTCGATGCCTTCACCGAACTCACCTCGCTCGACCTCTCCTTCAACAAGATCAAGCACATCAAACGCCTGAACCACATGACAAAGCTCAAGGATCTGTACTTTGTGCAGAACAAGATCAGCAAGATAGAAAACCTAGACGGGCTTTCCAACCTGCGGCAGATCGAGCTCGGCGCGAACAGGGTACGCGAGATTGAAGGACTGGAAACGCTGACGGGCTTGGAAGAGCTATGGTTGGGCAAGAACAAGATCACCGAGATCAAAGGCCTAGACACCCTCACCAACCTCAAGATTCTCAGCATTCAGTCGAATCGCCTGCGCTCGATAACGGGTCTGGAGAAGCTCGTCAACCTCGAAGAACTGCACATCTCGCACAACCTCCTCACAGAACTGTCAGGTCTAGAGAACAACGTCAACCTAAACGTCATCGACATCAGCGCGAACCCGATCGAACATCTATCTGGACTGAATGGCCTCAAGCACCTCACCGAGTTCTGGGCAAGCAACTGCAAGTTGAGCGACTTTGGAGAGGTCGAGAAGGAGTTGAGAGATAAGGAGGAGCTGGAGACGGTCTACTTCGAGGGCAACCCTCTTCAACGGGCACAACCGGCGCTATACAGGAACAAGATTCGGTTAGCGTTACCCCAGGTTGTACAGATCGATGCCAGTAAGTCCATACCAATCCCCCAACATCTCAGGACAGACGGTAACCTTGTAACAGCATTCGTGAAGCAAGTATAGGCGACCAAGCGGGAATGAAGATCAAACTGCAAAGGTGAACAAGGCATTTACACGGCGCACTAGGAAGAAGCTGCAGGCGTTCAGGCAAGCATACATCTAGCGTGGCGATATGGTGGTGATACCCTATGAATGCATGGTATTGTTGGCTATAACCGAGGCTTGCACTTATGATGTGAACTAATAAATCTAGTCCATGTCTTGCCGGTCTCGGATCTCAACCCGTGACCACAGCCAGATAAACATGCGGTCTGCAGCATTCCCATCAACCGTATTCGACCCGCGCCGCACCGTGCCGCCCCCGGTTTCGACGCTAGTACTTTATCCGCTGTATAGGAATCCTTCGGTCCTGCATAGAGTGGGTCTCTTTTTTCGCGGAGACAATACCCCATCTAGCTCAAGTCCAACGGCTTTCACGTCGTCTAGCTTGCTTCGCTCAAGGGTTCATGCCGTGCTTTCGGGATGTTTCGAGAGGCGTGTTGGCTGTGGATGCAACCGAACCGCGGCGAGCGTTATCCAAGACTTGGCTTGCGCTGCACGAACAAGGTTATTTGGATGCAAAAAATGGGTACCTCTGTCTGGAGATGCAAGTGAACTTCGAGTGGGTGACAGCTCGGTAATCAAGTGGGTGGCAAGCTCCTTGCAGCACTATCCATGGGGGCGTACTTGCAATCGATGTTCCTACACACTCTCGATTCGATATACGGATTCTTATCGCGGCTCGATTCCTGGAATCATGGTTTTCTTATGCGTTGGCGTGCTCTTTGTAGCCTCCGCCGCCGCCAGGTTCGCGCCTCGCTCTGCGGAACCCCCCATGCGTCTTGCCGATCGCCAGTCAGGCAACGTGGCGAATATCAAGCAAACAGCTGATGGGGCAATTCCCCGTTTCGAATGGGAACAGTCATTCTTGACGGATGCGACCCTCGAGGAAGCATTGACCTCGGTATCAGCCGACGCAAGGTCGCTTTTCCAGTTTGCTGCGCACAATATTGCCAGCGACTCCGTCCCTGAGACAGAGAGTACTTTCAACGGCCGCGAATGCAAGGTCTTCCCTGGCGATGAAGATTGGCCGGCGGACGCGAGCTGGTCGGCGCTCAACGATATCACCAACGGTGCTCTATTGAAGCCTCTCCCCCAAGCACATGTCTGCTACAACACTAGCCTGGCTGCTGCAGACCAGAGCGCTTGCGATGCCATGACCAAGTCGTGGACTGATCCGTTTTCCCAGTATGTAGCCTTTGAAGATTGCCTCCTCATAGCCATCGACTAACGTATATGAACAGGCTCGACGACCCACTTGAGATGTTAAGTCCGATGTACCAAGGCAGTACATGCCAACCACCTCAGCTCTACGATAGTAAAGAGTGCACCCAAGGAGGATACTCTCTCTACGTCGTAAATGCCTCGACTACCGCGCAGATCCAGCTAGCGCTTAACTTTGCGCGGAACACAGGCGTCCGCTTTGTAGTCCGGAATACAGGTCACGATTTTGCGGTAAGTGCTTCATCCATACCCAATCTTCCAATCGCTGATAGCTCTTAGGGCAAGAGCGGTGGTGCTGGCTCTCTTAGCGTATGGACTCATGGATTAAAAGACATTGCATTCCTCGATAACTACGAGTCTGGAGATTACACTGGACCGGCTATGAAGGCTGGCTCAGGTGCGCAAGGCTTTGAGCTTTACGCTGCTGCGAGAGACTTCGGCGGCACAGTCCTTGGCGGTGAATGTCAGTACTTACTTTCAAGCATGTCTCAATGTATACTGACTTTGCTTGATACACAGGCCCTACCGTTGGCGCAATGGGTGGATGGATCCAAGGTGGCGGCCACTCACCTTTGTCCGGCCACCTAGGCTTAGGCGCTGACCATGTGCTTTCCATGGAGGTCGTCTTGGCAGACGGTCGCTACGTGACTGCTGACAAGAACAACAACCCCGAGCTGTTCTGGTCATTACGCGGTGGCGGCGGTCTGACTTTCGGTGTCGTAACCTCCGTCACCGTCAAGGTACATCCAGACCAACCCATTGCCTCCGCCAACTGGGTTGTCACTACAGGCAAGAACGTCAGCACCGAAGCCTTCAAGCAAGGGCTCAAAGCCTACATGAAATATTTCCCACAGAACGCCGATAACAACACTTATGCCTATTGGAAAGTTTTCCCGGGCCCCGATTCCATCATGATGGATATGTCGCCTTTCTTCGCTCCCGGCAAGACCGTCGAAGAAGCCAAAGCTCTGGTCGACCCTTGGGTAAAAGACATGGCCGCACTTGGGATCACTGTCGCGCCCGAATGGACGCAGTACAACGGCTTCTACGATGCGTACAACGGCTCTTTCCCCGTGGAGGCCGTGAATAGTAATGGTGTAGCCACTACCTCACGCATGATCCCACGTTCCAACTGGGCCAACGAATCCATCTTCAACGAGACTTTCGAAGCCCTCTGGCAAGCCGTCGACGAGGATATGGCGCTGATCGGCTACAACATGGCGCCATCATGGGAGAAAGGCGGTCGCCCGGACAACTCTGTCAATCCAGCTTGGAGAGACATGCTCGGTTTCATCATTACTGGGACTGTGCTGAACATGACGAATCCAGCTGCGGAGATTGTCGAAGAGCGCCTCAATATGACTTATGGCGTTATGCAGAAGTGGCGCGATCTCACGCCCGGCTCCGGTTCGTACCTCTCCGAGGGAGATCGCCTTGAGCCCAACTTTCAGTGGTCGTTCTGGGGTAGCTTCTACCCGCGTCTTTTGAAGGCGAAGCGCAAGTTTGATCCGTTCAATCTCTTCTGGGCTGCTGGGGCAGTGGGCAGTGAGTTCTTCAATGTGCGTAGCATTGACGGTTTGCCGAATGAGAACGGGAGGCTTTGTGTTAATCCGAAGCCGACGCTCTACCAGGCTGAGGGTCCTGACTGGGTTCCACAGTAAATGGATGGTGTTATGGTGTCCAAATGTGTATAGATCTGAGATCAAGGGGTTCTCAGTTCATGCTGATAGGAAATACCATCGAGGCTGATGAACCGACGGACACCCGAAGAAGTTGAACACATTGAAGGCTTTGCTTTGTTCTTGGCAACGAAGTACATTACTAGCGTCGATGAGGTGCAAGGAATCGTCTTGATAATGATGGTCTACACCGAGAGCATCGTCTCTTGTACTGTCTAGGTATCATATGCACATGCCACGTCAACCTCGTCCAGGGCCAGTAAATGCTTCTCCCATAACTACATAACCTTCCTGTTGTTTCCATCCGATCCCAACTCCAAAATCAGACCATTCAAGTTCAAGCGTTGAATATTTCCGTTGTGTATGTCGCGGCGTCTTGCTTGGCATCATCATTCATGAACAGCCGAGGGGCTGCACTCAGAAGCTTGGGTTGCCGTTGATCTTGAGACCGCTCACACCGTTGGCAATGCCTTCAGCATCAAGCCCATTCGTCATGCCACTTTGGTAGTCGCGAGTGATCTCGTCGAGCATACCAGCACTAGCAGCGACGAAACCCAAGTAGGGCCTGCTCGGGTCCAGGACGCGGGACAGGTATTCCGGGTGGAACTGGACACCAACGAACCAGGGATGGTCCTTGATCTCAATAACCTCCATACGTACACCAGCTTCATCTTTGCCGACAAAGCTCAGACCGCCCTTCTCGAGCGTCTCAATGTAATCAGGGTTGACCTCATATCGGTGACGGTGGCGCTCTAGGATCTCCTCCTTGCCGGCGTACAAAGCGCGGAGACGAGACCACTCGCTGCCTGGCTGGAAGAGTGTGGGACGGAGACCGAGACGCATGGATGCGCCCATAGTGCTCTTGTCTACCTCTGGCATGAACATGATGAGCTTGTTCTGCGCCTCGCCGTTGAACTCCTCGGAGGTTGCGTCCTTGATGCCGCAAACGTTACGAGCGTACTCAATAACGGCAATCTGCATGCCGAGGCAGATACCAAGGTACGGCTTCTTATGCTCACGCGCCCAGGTGGCCGCTGAAATCATACCTTCTGTGGCACGTTGACCGAAGCCACCCGGTACCAGGATACCCGATGCCTTGACGACCTCGTGCCAAGCGTTGTGGTACTTTGCGGGGTCTGTCTTCTGACACTTGGGCTCCAGATGGTCTGAGTCCACCCAGCGAATGTCCAGCTTCCTCTTGCACCGCATCGTAGCGTGTTCCAGCGATTTGATGACTGACAGGTATGAGTCTTGGAGCTCCACGTACTTTCCGACGAGTGCGATCGTGACCGGGTCGTGGAAACGAGTGTCGTGGCCGGTCAGCGACTGCCATTGCGCCCAGGTATGGTTGCCCTTTTGCAGCATTGACGCTGAGACTGAAACTTGCTCGAGAGCAAGGAATTGGCGGACCATCGGAATCAGTCTTTGTTGTTCGAGAAGCATCGGTACTTGGTAGATGGATGGCATGTCACGGACAACAAGGACTTGTTCGTTCTCGACCTGGCAAAAGTGGGCGATCTTCTCGACAGCGGAGGCTTCGAGTTCGCGCTCGCAGCGGCAGGCAATCTAGTACTGTCAGTCATCCAAAGTAATGGCCAACGTGAAAGGCTTGACATACCAAATCTGGGATCAGACCATTACTCCTCACCGCCTTGATAGCCTGCTGCGTAGGCTTCGTCTTCTGCTCGCCGTGGATAACCGGGACATACGAGACGTGAATCTGCATGAAGTTGTTCTTGCCCGCACGCCTCCTCAGCTGGCTCATAGCCTCAATGAAGGGCATGCTCTCGATGTCGCCCACGGTTCCTCCCAGCTCAATTATGCAGACGTCCGGCTCCTCGCCTGAGTCATCGACGGGTATCCGCGAGACCTTCTCGATCCAATCTTGAATCGCATCGGTGATGTGTGGGACGACTTGTACGGTTTTACCCAGGTAGTCGCCCTTGCGCTCGCGTTCGATAACGTGCTGGTAGATCTTGCCAGTGGTGATGTTGTTGTCGCGGGTGAGGGTGATGTTGAGGTAGCGCTCGTAGTTGCCAAGATCGAGGTCGACTTCGCCGCCGTCGGAAAGGACGAATACTTCGCCATGCCTGGGTTTTTTTAGTCTATATTCACGGTACGGTTGGTGAAGCCTACTCCTTCGGGTTCATAGTTCCCGCATCGACATTGAGGTACGGGTCGACCTTGATCGACGAGACGTGCTGAGACGTCAGTATGGTCGGTAAACCGCGTCAGTTCATTGCACTTATCTTGAGGCCGATTGTCTTGAGGAGAAGTCCTGTAGAGGAGGCTGCGACGCGTCAATCAGCTACAGCACGCAAAAGAAGATCCTGACGTAGGAGATGATGTACAGTGGTGCACTTCGGCTACACACTGATAGCGATGGTCTCGTAGAGGCTGGTATGCTCTCATGAAAGTCAAACTTCGCGTGGAGCGTCATAGACGCGCGACACTTCTGGCCCATGTCAAATAGCTTACCTATGATACCCTGTGTGTACGCGTTAGTGGTGATCAAAGGCGCGGCAACCTGCAGCTTACCTTCCCCACGCCGCTGATGACGCCGCCAGACACAAGCACGTACTTCATGATGCTGTTTGGTGCCTCAATCGGTTATGGGGAAGGGGAGGGAAGGAAGAAAAGTCGAGATTTCGCACGCGTTAACTTTGAAAGAAAATCGGCGCATGGACCCTCTAGCGGGGCAGATCCGCCCGCACTAGCGCCCTCTCGAGGCTTGAGGCTTGCGACCATGATCCTGCAGCGAATCTTGATCCGAAGCTTCATTTCCTGAGAAAAACTGTCTCAAGCCCAGTGTCTTCTTATATTAACTTCAAATACGAGCTATCAAATGGTATCGTGCTCCCGTCCGTCGAATATCAAATGCATTACAATGTGACCGCCTCACCGAGTCTTCAGACCCCTCCTGTGTTGTATAAACGCCATGCAAACGTTCTCAACGCTGGCAACTTTGGAACTAAAATGAAACGTCCGAGGGGAATAGGGTTCGTTCATCATGTCGTCAAGATGCAAATCGGTATCTGCAAAAGATGCTCCAGATGACCCAAATAATAACCCACATCGCCCGCTGTAGATGATGCTCATGAAAATGTAGATGCCTGAGAGGTGTGGCGAGTTTGTCATTCTCTGCGCCGTCGCTTCAGCTCGTCCTCTTCCGTATTGTCGTGTTCTTGGCTCGCGGTGAGTCGTTTGCGTGCCAGTGCCTTTTCATTGCCCTTCTTCACTTGGATATTGCACCCTTGTAACTTCAATGCCCGGGTGAGCGCGCTGCTTGGTCGCATACCCGGAAAGTCTTTGGCTGTGTAGACTGTGAAGACATCGCTCAAGACCTCGGTGAGTATGGGCGAGAACCCTCCCACGTGGAGGTTCATAGGATCGATGCGCATGAGGACGAACCGGAGTCGGTACTTGCCATGTGTACGGCAAGAGAGGTCTGGAAAGCAGAAAAAGCAACCCTCGGCGTCATGCTCATCCTTTGCTACAGACGGAGAAGCTACGAGCTGGCCCATTAGTCGTCGCGTTGTTCGTCGGTCAGGCTGTATGAGTGCCGTCTCTTCGTTCGTCCCTTCTGCGTTCCAGAGCGTGCAATGAACCACGTTGAGCGAGTAACGAAGCTCTTCTTGTTCAGCAGCACCGGTCTTCGGATCCGTTACTAGTAGCTGGATGATTGGCGGAGGGTCAATCACCCTGCGGTCGCGTTCTCCGAACCCACATGCTCGCGCAGCGATGGGTTGTTGTCGCACACGAAGCTCGTAGTTTAGATTCCTATCTGTGTCAGTCAACGTTGACCTACCCAGGCGGGAGGGGTTCCTACAGTTGTTCGTTGTACACAGGCTGTGGTATCGAACCCGGCAACGGAATTGCTCGATGCTGTTTCTGGGGCGGAGGGGCTGTCGCAGGGGTCTCTGAATACGAAATAGATCCCAATGGCGCCGCTAGAGAGCCGCGATGTGATTGTGAGTGCTGATGGGAACCGACGGACCCGCGGAATGGAGTGCTACTTGATGCATAGCTTGGTGTGTACCCAGGCGAGGGCAGTGGAGGGTAGGCTCTTTGCTGCGAGGCTTCTACTGGAGAAGTGAGGGATGAGTAGGGCTGCTCGTGGTGTTGGCTGTGGGGTTGGTTGGGGTGATAGTGGCGGGGCTCCTCGTACGGATACCGGTGTTCAGTCAGTCTTCGCGGGCCTCTGCTGTCAAACTCGGAACGTGGTGAGATGGGGGGTCCATATTGCTGAGGAGAATATGGTGGGTCTGATCTAGGTGGAGTGTAAGGATTCGAGTGCTGCAGTAGCTTCTCGACGGGGGCTGCTGCTCTATGTAACGAGGACGGCTGAGGGTAGTCGTGTCGTGGGGGCAGTCCAGCATGGATCGAGGGCAGTTGATTGATGGGGGAGCGGAACTGGTGATCCGGGCGTGGTGGTACAGCGTCTGGCGGGATCTCCAGCGGGGGCAGTCGGCGATGGGAGTAGTCGAGAAAGCCAGGGGGCGAGAAGATGGGAAGTTTCTGGGTCTCGGTCATATCTGGAGCAGGACGAGAAGATGTTGTCAGAGGGAGCGACGGCGGCGGAGGTGGAGGTGGTTGGGACATGCGTGTATTATTATTTGGCCGGGCCAGGACACGATGCACGAAGCCGCATTGGGATGAGGGTTGTGTTCAGTTCGGAGGCTCTTTTCAAATTGGGAGCAACGGGTCGTGGTGCAGTGTTGGACAAGACGTCAGGAGTGGGAGCACTGCCTCGAGTGTGGCGGCGTGAGTAGTTTATAGTTGACGGTTCCCTGTAGTCAACCCTGTAGGTATCTGGATCGCCAGCAGCCAGATCGACGGTCGGATGCTTGGATTCAGCAATGGCGACGTTGAAGTGGAGGCGCTCAGACGCCTTAAAACAACGGGCGCCCGGGAAGGGGAAAGGATGCAGACGGGGGTGGGCCCGCAGCACCCTGTTCACTCGCAAGCCTCACGCCAACCGTCAAGAGTAGCCGGCTCGGAGCATAAATTTCAACAAGGACAGCGATAAGTGCAGCGATGGGAGGGCGGATCCGAGCTTGGCGGAGCGGTGCTAGTCCCCAGGTTTCTGACGTGGGCTGGGTGCAAGCGATATGAAGGCCGGGAGATGGGCACTGCTCGCAGGTGACGGAGTGGGGACATGTCATGGCCGACTGGCATGATCAAATGATGGTGATGGCGTCTGGCTGGTGCATGTGGCCTCAGCGGGCGCCATGCAGCAGGAAACTTTGGGAAGTCTAGCTCAGTGAACTGGCTTCGCAGTATTTTCGTGGGGCGTCCGTTGCAGGCTGGCGGCCGGGTAAAAGGTCGACAAACAACGGCGTCCCGGTTTCGCAGGCACGTCTGTTTCGAATCAAGGCGGGCCAGGGTGTTGCACACTGTAACCCGGCGGCAGCCAATATGGAGCAATATGCCAGATATCACGTAACTCGGTCGGTGGGCGCTGGCGGGCGACGCTTTCGGCGAGGGTCCAGATGGAGGTCAGGAGTGGCTGCAGCGCGAACCTGGGAACGGCCTGGAGGCCCATCTGTCAGCGGGCGCGGCGAATGGCGAGGCTGCAGCGGTGCGGCTAAAAGCGATCTGCCCTGCGACGCCTTTCTTGTCCGTCTCCGCGCACCCACTTGGGCTGGTGAACCCAGTCAGGACGGCTACCGGGCTTTTGGAAGACGGCTGCCGTCGCATGCGCCCATCCAGCAGTGACATGAGACAAAGCCTCCGCACCTGGCTATCGGACTCGATGGGCAACGGGCACGGCCGCTTATGTTGGTCGGTGGCTTGCGCTTGACCGCGGTGGGCGACCGTTGTCGTTAACAGCAGACAATTAAGACACGCAGTATGCTGCCAGTATCGCTGCCATGGCGGCGACACGAATCACGGCCCTTCGCTTGCGGCCCTGGAGAGAGTGGCAGCATATTGCAGTCATGGAAGGCACCCGTGGACAAACCCCATGACGCCCAAGTTGGACATGGGAGCAGTTGGACATGGGACGGCAGTTGTCGTCTATCTGTCTATCTGTCTACCACTCTACCACTACCAGACTACCACTACCACTCTATCACTGTCTCGCGTGGTCTACTCCACATCAGACGGCAGTCGACCGTTTAGAGTAACAGCTGGATTGTCTGAGTAACAGATTGCCCGAGTAACAACGTTGCAGCGGTCCTAGCGCCTCTCTTATTGCCTCGCTGCTCAGTCTGATATTGCGCCCGCACGGCGTACCTGCGTGTGTGCGCGCGCCTTAGGCTAGCCGCCTCCGCCGTGTGCTACCTCAGGCGGACGCATGTCTACTTTGACACACTCGTCCTCTGCTACCCCTCACCACCCATCGCGACGACGCTGCCCTCGGTGAGCGAGTCCGCCAATTGCTCTCCCTGGCACGTGTCGCAGCCAATCGTCCGCCCGGGCACCTGCCGTCTCTGCCCTCTACTCTACGCGACCACCCAACCGCCGCCCACGCCTCCCTCACCGCCCCGTCGTCTCCCACAGCTGCAACACTACTCTGCGCTGAATCACGTCGCCACTCCAGGGCTCGATCGACACGCTGCCCGCATGGCTGCTCACTTCGGCAACTACGTGGGTACGTGCGAGGCCACCTCACCCAGACGGGCTGTGGGCGTTCTGACGTGCCCTCTACCGTGGCTCAAAGCGGCCTCTGCTCGGCAATTGCTGCCCTGCCTCGATTCGTGCTGACGGCCTGCAGACTATAGTGGGGCCAAGCCTCCTGCCTCAGCGACTCACGTTCGCGACCCACGTCTGCACATCCTGGCGGCGACGATTCCGGAGATCTTCGCCAACAAGCACATTCTCGACATCGGCTGCAATGCTGGCAGCGTTTCGATCCAACTAGGTAAGTCCAGGAAGGATACCCCTGCCACCTGCTGCAACCGACTATTACCACCATCGACGAGATATTGATCAACTGCAGCCCTCGATTTCCACGCGGCTGCCGTCACTGGCGTCGATATCGATCCCAAGCTGATTGTCCAGGCCGAGAAGCTCCTGGCCTTGCGCGCTTCCCGTGCAACACCCCCCACGAGTTGCGACCCACCCGTCGTCGACTACTTTCCCATGTCGGCCGTGCTCACTCATGGCTACCGGATTGAACCGCACCGCAAGCCTGTCCACACGTCTTCCGCTGCGTCAGCTGCCTGGCCGCGTGTAACCTTCTTTTCTGCAGATTGGGTCCTGCCCTCTGACCAAGATGCTACCGACTCATACCATGTCATCCTGGCATTATCCGTCATTAAATGGATCCACCTCGAACATCGAGACGCTGGTCTGACGACGTTTTTCGCAAAGTGCTCATCGTCTTTGAAACCGGGCGGCTACCTAGTCATCGAGCTCCAGACCTGGGACTCATATCAAAAGGCCATTCGCCCCAATCATGCTCCGCATTTCCAAGAGACCCTCAAGGAGCTGCGACTACGGCCAGAGACATCGTTTGACACTCTCCTTGCCAATCACGGTCTGCACCTCTGCGCTTCGTCGGACGCACTCCCTCGTCGCATCAATGTCTATCAAAAGGCCTAAGAGCGGTTGGTAGACATATTGGTAGGGATTGACACTCTTCCACTAGCATCACGTTTCATGGCGTTCGGGTCCCAGTCTCTAGTATCGGGATTTACCATCTCGTCTCGCTCGGGAGACGTTGCAGGTCATCCATGGCATTATTCACGTTGACTAATCTCTACACTCGTGCCGCTGCAGCATCTACCGTATCTGGCTCTCCCATTCTATTAATCAAGGTACATATGTTAGATTGAACTCGCTATCCAGGCAAGTAGAAAAGTATCCCAATCCGCGGCTAGTTACTACAAACGGCTGGTCTGCGCTCCACTTTCTTGGTCTTCTCTCCGAGGCTGTTCCCTGTCCGCCGATCTTTGGCCCTCACCATCCCAGGTTCTATCAAGCCATGCATCGTACGATTGCGGCAGCTATGCAAGTAAAGATCGGCCGAATAACAGGCTTTTCAAACTTCCGGCCTCGATGTCCGCCTCAGTAGTGAGGCATGCAGCTACAACCTAATTGTGATTGCAGCCATGGCTCCGCAAACGTCTCTGGCGGGCCACGGTAGAGTAGTGAGGTTGCGACATTTGCATTAGCCGCGTTACTACACAACCCGCCACGCTAGCCAATGGCGGCTCGGAAGCTTTTCGGCTTATGCCGGGTACCCATCCTCTGGTTCTCCAGACATTAGATCACATGTCGTCCACTAATGCAAACCTTATTCCACTCCGGATCTCGTGCAGGCCGAGGTTTTCTGCTTATGCTGTTCAATAGTATATCTACTACCAGCCGTGCTATCCTCCTCGTAACGTCATCTCAGATGGCCGGCTCTAGATGTTTCGACAATTGATGATCGCTCACCGGTCCGTACATTGTGACAAAGTCTAGATGACAGGAGCGTAGGTTCGCCGACTCCATGGCAACATGGTTTAACCTAGCCGCCACTGACCGCTTATGAGCTGTCACAGAACGTGAAATTGCCAAACTCTCGTTGACAATATGACTGCTGATGCTGTGAAAGATGAGATATGACGTTGCATTTCCGTCAGAGAGCACCGATTCCCCGTCTGTACCATCTCAAACAGGTAAATCCCTCGAATTTCACGCTTTGGTCCCTGAAGCCTTGAGGACGGCGCAAAGGTTCGAGCGCTTGGTTTCCCTCATCAGCCGTAGATTCACCTTAGCTCGCACCTTGCGAACCACGTCGACTGTTGAGGAGCTCTCTGGGAGATTATGCCACACCAAGTACAAAGCTTGATGGAGTGGCTGAGTTACCTCTGGACCGGTGCTGCACGATGCCTTGCCCGCTGGATGCCATCTCATCAACATTTCGTTCGAGAACCAGGGACAGGCCGTATGCTTTGAAAATTGAGTTACTGGGTCCCGGTTGATGCGAGCTGGCGACTCGGTTGTCGATCCGTCAGAGCGGTAGGCTCATTCGACATAGTCTACAGATCTTGAGAGGTGCTCAATCTCGCAGGTGAAGTCGGCCCTCACGAAAACCCAATGCATTAGCTGGAACACAGCCAAGTCGTTATTCTGTTTTTACCGCATCTACATGGCTGCACAGCTTCGGTAGCTTGGTTTCTCTGAAAGCCGTGCCATGGAACGCCAGTGCAGTATCTGGCCAGTGTACCGTCCACTGCGGCGATTCAAGCAGACATGATCTTGTCGTTGGTGTGGGAACAAGTCCGATGATGCGCTCCCCTGCAGACCAGGCAGACTTGCGACTACTGTTGTCAGCAAGCATACGCCTATCGGGATGCAGCATCACTGCCTGCTTGGTCGCACGACAGCCAATACACTCACCGATGGATGCATCGGCAGTTTGTCTCTAGCCGAGAGGGTGAATCACAGTATATACTGTCATGTCGTGCGTGAAAGCGTCGACTCTGCTAGCCAATGACGATGCGATGCTGCCATCGTGAACGGTGTCGAGATTTGCGATCAACAGTTCGTCCAATATCTACAGCGCCTAAACGATATGCAGTTGCGCATGGAAGATTGACCACTAACGGGAACGCCCTGCGTAGGTATACAAGGAGGACGACCGAGGGATGTCGACTAAACGGGGCGGCCATTGATGGACAACGCATCCACGGATAGCTGCTTCGTGGACACACCACATACCGCACAGCAGCGCATTGCACAAGTGATGCTGCCCAAGAACATGTCGTGAGCTGGCTCGAGTGACAACAAAGCTCCTGCACCCTGCGCTTATCTCCTCGATGCGATCCGCCGACAACGATATGGAGTTGCAGGACATCGATGACGTTGAAGAGTCGCCATTGAGGTGCAGCATGTCGAGTAAGGCGTACTGCCGTCAGTCGTCATCACAACTTCTCATGTCGTTTCAATTTCCACGCCCGTTGCTGTTGTCATGTGTCGCCGTGCGCTCTTGCCGTCTTCGGAGCACGTCTCGCAGCTGCCTCGATTACGTAGGCCAGACAAGCCCAATGACAGCGAGGGTTCGTGCAGTTACCAGGGGCCATGCAGAACATAGTTCCTGTCGTGGAACCCTCCAGCACATCGCTCCTGCCTTGCCACGAACACTTGCATTCTGCCCCCGATACACGAAATCCACGTCGGCTAGTATTCTGGAGGAATGCGCTGCAGGGAGCTCGAAACGACCGTTGCCCGCGTCGCGTCGACGTGTTCAGACGAGAGCTTTCCGATGCTCCAGGTCGGCGGTGCGCGGGCTTGAGAAATAGCTTTTGGCCACCTCACCTTGCCGCATCGGAGACTTTTGTACCTTCAACAAATGCTCTTTCTCTCCTCCCCTGGGCCTCGCAGGGACCGACGCAAGACGATGCTAGCGACAGGTTGATCCCCGCCTCTGGAATGCGATGGCAATGATGTGTAGCTGCTGGAGCGTCTGCAGTGGCGGCACCTCCCAGCTTGGATGGACGTCCACTTGCAACTAGGCGGGAAGCCAAGCACTGCACCAGTCGGGCTATATAACCATCAAGCAGCGTCGAGGTACGTCTCACGCGAGACCTGTCGTCACTCCTGACCTGTGTACCGGCCCATGATTCAAGCAGCATAGCTTGCGCCGGAACTCCAGGCTGAGCCGAACAAAAACAACCATCTTCTTCCCTCAGCAGCGCCAGCGAGGTAAGCTCCAGAACCGCGCGTAGCATCAATGCGTCAGCACGTGTCCTGTTCACACCACAGCTGGGGGAGGCGCAAACGAGCGGGCGTCGTATACGGCGCTTAGGGGCATGAAACGGTTTGGTGCTGACCGTGCGATAGGCTTCCTTGACGAGTCTCGCGCGGGCGCTTCTCACGATCCCTCATGCAGATCTCTGGCTATTTGACATCCTGCCGAAGTCAGACGTAAGCTGGATCCTTGCTTTTGCCAAAGCGAATGACCATCCGAGCTTGGTCACACAGAGCTAGACAACACTCAACACGATTCGGCATCTTGCCGGAGCTACGGGATACACCACCTATACATACGCCATCAAAACCACTCGTAGAACAGAGCAGAGCCACGCCGAGCGCTCATCTCCGCCGACCGACCGCGAGCGCATCGAGCGCATCACCGACGATATGCCACCCGCGAGCGACTCCTTCATGCCCCTCAACATTGAAGACGACGTCGTGCCAGAATGGCTGGATTCCTTTACTCTGGTTGCGCCCCCAAACACCGATCTATGGAGAAGGCCATCTTCGGGCGACATCTCAACCGCTCCCATGCTCTACACTGCCTTGAGCAATCCCTTCATTGTAGCAGAAGTCACGGTCAAGGGAGACTGGCAGCTTGAATGGGATCAAGGAGGGCTGGTAATATTCGCAGGCGCACCGCCAGGACAGGCAGCGACGGCATCAACAACCGCAACGCCGACATTGCAGGTCCCAGATGTTGCAAACATCCGGTTGGACGACAGCGCGACGCCGAGCTCCGCCATCTCTCTCTCGCAAACCTCAAGTAATGAGAATGTTGAAAGCTGCGGCACGACAGCCTCACACAGCCCAACAGACGAGTCAGGACCCAGCCCCCAACTAGAACGTGGGCCGCCACCACCATACGACACTCCTGCGCCAGCACCCAAGTGGGTGAAAGTCGGGCTTGAGTTCTGCGGCAACGTATGCCACGCTACAGCTGTAGCCGCCAATAGTGAAGGTGCCGATTGGTCTTTGAGTTCGCTTCCTCCGCTTCAACAACGGCTCAAGGAACTGCGCGTCAAGATGGAGCGCATCGGCTACGCGCTGTGGGTGTCGTACGAGGAAGAACCGGGGATTTGGAGGAAATTGAGAGAAGTCACTTGGTTCTTCTGGGGTGTAGAAGACAAGGCCGTACGCGTTGGCGTCTACGCGAGTCGACCTGCAAACTTTGGCATCACCATGTGGGATCACAGACACCGTGTGGGACTCAGCAACGAACAGCGAAATTTATACGTCGAATTTGAAGATCTGGAAATCCATTAACCAGGCTCGCCGCCTTGTTTATTTCTGTCGGTCTATCATTGCATGCAGCGGCTGTTTGTGCAGCCCAGGATCACGAGCAGATGCTCTCTTTGCTTCACACATCCCTAGCATGTCTACATCTCTAATCGTCTCTTCGACCCCTACTTCGTAATCAGTTTTGAGTTTCGGTTCTATGTACCTATTCGCTTTTCGCCGTTCGCGGCGTTGCCTCGGCGCTTGCCACCATCTTCAGCTCATCGCAGCGTCGCATCCATCTGTGGCGACAATACCTGCACTGCAACTTCTCGCATACATATAGGGCTCATTTTACTGTAATCGCCTCTTTTCCTCACGGATGACGGATCATGTTGAGCGCAGATCTGTAATCTCGTTCTCAGCTCCGTCATCACAATCCAGTTTCGCTTGCCTTCTAGGATATATCTATTTATATAATAACACAATTATTCGGTATCTATGTCTACACGCTGCAATGTGCGGTTCTCAGTCCGACCTGGACCTCGTGTAAGAACGTGGGTCGGATGCGCCCTGCATGTGGAATGGTGGTGATCGGTACCCATGCGGAGCTGGCGCGTTTGGTGTCGCGTCTTCACGCCGCCCCGGTGCCCTTCACAGACGGTGTAAACTCAGCACACTAAAGTACCAACACAGGAGAGGGATCACAGTCTCGATCGATCCAAGTACTTGAATGGCAGGCCCGAATGATGCGTGCAAACGACAAAGCTGATGTTGAATCTCACAACTTTGAGAGACATGCTACTTCCACGACGAGTACCAGAGAGTTACGGATACGATCCAAACCTAAGTTTTCTGGTCGCTTTGAGGAGCTACCTACTCGATCCTTGCCGATTGGCTGGTCTTCCACCCAGAACCCCGTACTAGGAAACAACGATGTTGCTTGCCTATATCCTGTTGGGCCTTGCTAATCACGCAGCTTGTGGATACGGCGATACCATGAAGGATCGTCAGGCAGAGTATACTATGACTAAGGACGCTCACGGGAGCTACACCACAGCTCCGTCGGTAGAAAGAACGACTTCCTTCCCTGCATCCTCATCCAATGCGGCCAGCACTCAGATATCTAGCCTTCAGCCATCTCAGTCCGTACTACCGGCCAGTGTGCCCCCCACAGTTGCCTGCTGGGCGACACCGTACTGCGATTCTATCCTCGTGGACTTTGCGCACTGCTACAACATCTCTGGAACGCTGAAAAGTCCCAACGGCGACGATGGACGAAGCGAAGTTTACCAACGCTGTCTCTGCAACGACCGAGGAACTGTGTACAAAGAGTAAGCGTCCCTCGAACCACCTCCCTCTCCGGCTTCCTCTAACCGAACAAACAGCATCCTCACAAACTACCAAGAGCAAAACACAGACAACGTAACGCAGTGCTACGCATGCATGAAGCAAGCCGGCATCGAAGTAGACAAGAACAGCGAACCCAGCCTACAAATGAGATACAAGATCCATAATTTCTGCAACACCGCAGTGCCGAACCTGTACGATTTACTCGCTCTATTCCTCGTCTGGCTCAAGTCCACCGACGAGCCCGTGGACAATAACACCGAGCTGGGCAACATACCGTCGATAACTACTCTGGCCGATCGCTTCACAAAGACAGATGTAAATCAGGCTACTACAACGGTAGCCAGCTCGGCTCAGAACACGGAGACATCAGCGCTGGGGAGTACGCTTACTGCTGGCGACGTGATACCGACGCAGTACTTACAGCAACTACCGAAGCACTGGCCGTATACAAGCTACGGCGCGGCGAGAAAGGCAGGCCAGACTACCTCGTTCCCGTTGACAGACCCCAATTCGACAAGTCAAACGGTGGCATGGCTATTCCATGAGATGCTGTGGAATCCACGACCGCTTTTCACTCCGCCGTCGTCGAGGGGAGACACGTATGAACCAGGGCTTGAGGACTGGACACCAGTGTTCAGGAACGGTGCTGCCCTGACTGCTATCCCTTCTACCTCCGCCGCACCCGACATCTCAACGACGAACGTCGAGTCGAGCACTTCGGATCCCACAGCGACGGCAGCATCAGAAGGGAAGATGACGCTGGGTACTTCCATGGCTTCGACAACGCTGTCTTCATCTACGACGACCGCTCTTCTTACAACGTCCGTCGTCGTGTCCACGTCCATGTTGATAGCCTCCTCTGTTGCGATTCTAACAACAACGACAACAACATTACCGCCAACCTCTTCATCTCCTCCATCTTCTTCTTCTTCTTCTGCTTCTTCACTCACCTCACAAGCGCTCGTTCCTAATCGTCCAGAGTACACACAATACCCTGTTCTGAGCAAACCACACGATGCGAGAGACGTCACGACTGCGTCATCTCGAAAGGCACTTGTAGATGCCATGGCTGGGCCTAGGCAGGAAACTGGGGACAAGGAGTCAATTGAGCAATTGTGGGGTGAGATAAGAAGGGTGAAGAAAGAGATGAATCGCTGATACTCGATCGCGAGAATGCAACAGAGGGGAAGATGTAACAACAAACCAATATAAAGGCTATTCGTGTCATAATTACGTATTAACTATCTGTACTGCTTATATGTACCACCTCCCAAAATGAAGGGGTTTTCTAGACACGCTTTATACCGAAAACGCCAACCCATGCCCCTATATACAAGTCCTGTAATGAGACTCCATGAAGCGTATATACATAATGCCATCTACTTATTTTTCTTCCCCCTCTGCTTCACTACCTCTTCACCTCCGCAACAAGGTACGGGCCAATGACGCAAATAGCGGTCCAGACCACCATCGCACTCTCAACAACAATCGTGTACGGCGTCTTCCAAATAGGCACCTCCTGCAACCTGACGTAAATCGCGTAGAACGCAACGTAGAAGAAGTGGTAGACAAGCATCCAAGGGCGCGTGATCAGTCCCGCAAGCATACCACAGGGTTCACTGACGCTCTTTCCGCCGCGCAGGAAGTACTTGAAGCAGCCCTTCTTGATCAGCTCAAGGTACTGGTTGTTGGCGGCGAAGAGGCTGTATAGAGCCATGGCCAGGATGTTGATGACGGAAGATCCGTCCTTGCGCTTCCAGTGGAAGGTCGACATGGCGGCGAGGACGGCAGAGGTGTCTTCTAGTGTGGGTACGTTGGCGGGAGAGAGGAGGTTGGAGAGTAGGACGACGTCGTTGAACGCGACTGTCATGCCGCCGCCGGTCAGGGGATGGCGCATGTTCATTGAATCGCCGAGGAAGATGAGGCCGGCTTGTTTCTGCGTCGTAGGGGGTAGGAAGCTGTTGGGCATGGAGCGCAGTTTACCCGCTTCGATTGCTTTGCGGAAGGCGGGCTGGACACATGTGGGGAGTTGGGGCAGCGCCACATTGAGCATGTGGTTCTTGACACCCCCGTTCTTGGGGCTCGCCGAAGGTAGGTCCGCGGGTATATCGACAAGAATGCGCGTCTCGTGTGTACCGATTTGGTAGATGAGGATGGGGGGTGCGTCGGCGAGGATGACGTGGCCGTGGTTGGGCATGGGCAGCTCGGCGTCGATCATTTCGAGGCCCCAGAATTTACTGCGCACTTCGGGTTGATTGGGGATGTATTCTTTGCGGAACTTGGAGGCGTAGCCGTCTGCTACGAGGGTCACGGCGCCAAAGTAGTAGTCTTGCTCCCCGGCGGTTTGACATGATACGCCAACGACTTGGCCGGTGTAATCGCTCTTGACGACGGAAGTGACGGTGGTCTCGACGACGGTGACGTTGGGTGTGGACTGGGCCTTTGCTCGCAGTTTGGAGATGAAGCGGCCGTGGTGGAAGGAGCGTCCTTCTGGTGCTCTCGAGGGCCCGGAGGTGATGAGGTTGTCGGGGTAGGGGATGTGGACCTCCTCTTTGCCGTAGAAGATCTGGTAGCCGTGGCAGGGTATCGCATCGATGTCGTCGAGGCAATCTGGGGCCGGCTGTCAGCGTTTCACCCTAGACATGTGCTTGGAATGATTCAACGTACCCCTCATGCCCAGCTTCTCCAGAGCATTGACACCACCGGGCTGTAGCAGCTCTCCTACAATCCTGTCCGGCTCTTTCAGGCTCTTCTCCAGCAATAGGACGCTTCTGCCCTGCTTGCCGAATGCGACAGCAGCTGCGCACCCCACGATGCCCGCGCCAATGATGACGACATCGGCTTCATGGTGCACGCGCCGCCTCTCTTCGCGGGAGTCGCATGTGTGTGTGGCTTCGATAGTAGGGACGGATTGGGTCGATGTGCCTCTGTGTCGCAGCTGGGGGGACGGCGAGGCAGAAACTCCAGGCGGGAGCTCTGCAAGCTTGGAACCGGAGTACATTGTGAGCATGGTTGCGGTTGCTGGGGTCTATGGGAAGACCCTGTTGAGTGAAAGGTAAAGTTGATTGCGCAGAGGAAGGTGCGTTCCAAACTCAGTGGGGCGGGTGAGGCGCCGCGATAAATACTGGGCGATGTGCAGCGTGGAGAAGGAGTGTGTGTGGAGAAAGTCAATCAGCCTCGTCGAAACGTCACACGGGCGGCGCGAGGGTAGAAATAAACTTCGCGGAACGTCAGGTCTCGTGCAGATCAAGGGTCCGGCATGCAACCGCGTCGTCGAGAGAACGAATCCGAGTGGCGACCTCACGATCTTAAGCCGCGAGATTGATTGCAGGGATCGCGCTCACCGCCATGGCCCTTTCTGCCAGGGGTATCACTCCCACCTGGGCGATGTGGTGTGAAGATCATCTCATCTTGTCGGAATCCGATCTTGCTCGGCTTTTCCTCGAACCATGTCTGGTCTTCGGGCGGGTCTCCGGTCTCCGAAAGGTGTATGTGTTGTTCGTGAAGGGTGATTGTAGGGTGGGTCGGCAAAGACATGCACCTGCATAGCATTCACGTGTTGGCTACCAGGCACCCGCATCAAACTTAGAATCGTCGCAGGCACACCACAGCGACAAGTAGTCGATGCAAATCTCCTCTCTATGTAGTATATACGTTTCGCACAAACTCTATACATTGGGATTTCAGAAAGCAAC